ATGGTTCTAGCCTGCAGCACGGAGACAAACTGAAGATAGTCTTCATCGGTGATTCACGCAGAACCTCTCTGCATTGAACTTTACTTCGAATCCTGAACGGAGAAAATTTGTATTTTTTGTGGCCGGTCAACCTGACCAATGTAGACGTGTATTGGTGCTGGCTTTGACGGGGGTATAATATAAATATTGGAGGCGCGGTAGATCAAAATGCTGCGGCAGATTCTAAAGTTGCGAGACTCGTCCCCCACCTTTTGAGAACAAATAATTTCCCTCATTTATAATTTGCGGCGAGCAGGTTTTCCTGAATCATGAATTTGCGATTTCAGCCCAACTTGTTCAGTGTGGTCCAGAGGCTTTTTCGGCGAAAAGCAGCCAAGATGAAAATAGCCAACGCACCGACCGGCGTGGGTGGCTCAAACTTGAAGCTAAACGAACACAACCAAACTCAAGAAAAGCAGCTATCGAACCTTCCCCTCCCATTCACTTAACTGCAACATTGATGTTCCCTCCGGTAAAATGCCTCGTATGTCGTGCTCAGTCCACTGTTCTACATCCTCATAAAAAAAAAAAAAAAAAAAAAAAAAAAATATATATATATATATATATATATATATATAATAAATAAATAAAAAAAAACTACTTATCAGTTACCAAGCAGTCGTCACTTTGAATGTGATTCGAGACAGACAACAAAATCAAAACGTTTTTCTGTGATTTCGCCCCATCCAAGAAATCGAAAGCACGCGACCGTGTGTTGTGGAGTAAACGGGCTTTGAAACACGTGATGGAAGGAAACAATCTACTGACGCTTCATCACACTAATGAACACTCAGGCAAACTTAAGAAATATTCGGACCTTCGTCAAATTACACTGTTCGCCACCGCGTGGGTGTGTGGGTCGGGCCTGAAGAGAGTGGGCTTCATTTGCATTGCCGCAACACGACAAAACGATGCAGAAAACCCCAACCTAGACCATGTGGACGCCGCCATAAAAGGCACGCACTGCAAAAAAAAAATATATATATATATATATATATATATATGTTATTAAGCTTTTGTTGATAAAAGTAGTTACTTTCCACAAACTAGTTAGCTAGACTGGTTAGGGACTGTTGTAAGTTAAGACGTTAAAGGGGTACTGGTATCGAATATAAAGTGGGATGCGGGACTGAAGGAAAATCATTCGGATAAAGCATGCAATGTTTCTTTGTTTTTTCTACTTTTTGCAAAAATGCTTGTTAGTTCCGTGGCAAGGATTTAAAATGTATAAAAATTCAAAGAAACATTGGATTTCATGTTGTACAAGCGAATTAAAGGAGCTTAATAAACCATATGATAAGTTCAGTAAGACAAGAGACATCGCTATACTACGAGAGTTTAGGAGGGTGAGGAACAGGCTGGTTCTAACGCAACACCTAATTACTACAAAAATAAATTCAGCAGACATATGGAAAATCTCAGAAACCATGGCTATAAGTGTTGTAAACCCCGTACTGTTGCTCCAAAAGGGCTTACCATCGAGCAGGTCACTTACTCCGGTCAATCTTTGACAAACAAGTTTACAGTGATGGAAGCGGTTCTTGACCATTTGTAGCAGACTCTGTAGCAGGGAAAATACTGATTTGGAGTATTCAACGACACTTTTGGAGCAGATGTCAACACCTGTTAGCACATCACCCAAAAATGACAAAGTGAGTGCATCGCTACATGAGTTAACGTTTGGTAATGATTGAGGGTTCCTCTTTGATACTGGAGCATATTAGTTACTATAACTTTTGTAAAAAGAATAGAGAGGACGCGAAAGTAACATGGAGCTTTCTCTCTAGGAATAAGATTCTGGTCAAAGTATAGTTCCATTTACAATGGGTACTCGAAAATTATTGAAGAATGAAGAATATAATAGCGCAACACTTCAGTTGGGGTAAAGCCCCTCCCACTTTTACACCCGGTAGTCTACTTAGTCTGTAAATATAATTTCTCTAAATAACTGAAATGACTGTTATTTTTTTTTAATATATATGAAAGGCTCCGGCGAAATATTGATGACCATTTTTATCAAATTCTCTTCATGTACTAAATATCCACCCGTGAGTACGTCTACGAAATATTTGATCAAACTATTAATTTTCTTTATAGAAAATGAATTTGGAAGTTTATGCGTACACCTCCCAATCACTCGCTGCCGCTCTACTGGCAACCACGAGCAGGGGCAATCGTGACGTCATATGTTGTATCTGAGAGCAGACAACGCCTCCTGCTCCACGGCGTTGGCTGTTTGCGGCATGCGATGGAGGGTGGGTGGAATTGGTGATTGGCTGTAGGGTGCATTAACACCACCAAGAAAAGCAGCAGAGTGGCATCTTATTGGTTTCTGAGTCCGACCGAGAAGTATCCGCAACTGAAGTGGGACCGAGCAGTCCGACGCGAACGCTATAGGTCCTCGTCGTGCTAGAAAACAGTTCACACCTTGCTAGCAAATAAAACCTTCCATGCCATTCTGCTTCAAAGCGGCATCTGGGTCCACATGTTGGTGGATCGCGAATGCAGCCCCCACGGGAGGTCCCCTCCGAGGCGATTGTCGGCGGATCGAATGCGAACGGCGAATCAAATGAAAAACCGATTACCAGACTGCACCTCGAGAATGTTCACGAATGTCTTTACATCAAGCTCTTCACGAAAGCAGCGCCGCTCCAGGGAAGTACCCCAGCACGCGCAGGCTGTCAAACAAAGGTCAAACTCGAGGACCGTATTTCAACTCCCTGGGAGCGGGCATCTCGAACGGCAATGTTGTAACGCGTTGACGCCACCAAGTGGCAAAGCTCACACCCACACCAGCCTCGCTGTAGCCTTGCCTCAATAGTGAAAGATGGGCTCACTGCGGTGGCTAGTGGCACTGAACAGTGCCTGCGCTGCACGAGCGCGCGTGCTTGGCAGGGACGCTGAAACCCCGGAGCTCGCGCTTGTAGCATCGGCTGTGTCTGGACTTAGGCTGAAACGAAGCGTAGTTGGTACATCGTTCCTTTTGACAAAAGCGCCACAAGACAAGAGAAGAAAGTTAGAGACACAACACAAGGCGTTGCTTGAGAATGTGTTGCGATTGCAATACATTCTCAAATCAACTCTGATTCTATTATCTTTTACGACTCACATCTACCTAAACAAACAAATTACCACCTGAGGCATCAGAAATTTCTAATACTCATAGCGCTGTGCTGTGTCTCTTATTTTCTCTCCTTGTCTTGTGGCGCTTGTCAGAACGTAGCCTTGCCCGTGAAGGTAAACATGACGTCACGAGCACGCTGGAGGCGCCGGACCTCCCGAGACGCATCGCGCTCTTCGATGGCTACCCTTAAAGCGCTCGCTAGTGTAGGCCGTTTAGAACAAAAGAATATAGCCATCTGTGTAAAATAAAAACGTGCGATTATCATTAGCAGATTTTTTAAAATCATGTTTAACTTAATTCTGAACGTGAGGTATATTTTAATTATCATTAGTTTTATTCAAGCAAACCTGTCCAATTATTCTGTCCATTAGATAAAATCATGGAGATTGTAATGCTTGTCTTAGCTGTTGAGTTCAGTTAAAAAAGATTAACCTTAGTGGCATTATACTTACATATAAAAATGTAAATAACAATAATTTAAAAGTGTCATTTATCCCCCAATAGACCCTTTCCGGAATTCAGTGCCATCTGGTGACTCAAATGGCGGTTAATATTTTACTACACTAATGGCGGCAATGAACCTGTGGTCTGCAGTATTTAATGGGGCACCATCAGTTAAAGGTCAACGGTAAACGAGAATGTGCACTTCACTACAATTATTTTCAATCTCTTTTAGTGTCAATGGCGAAACAAGTGCAGCCAGTCGGAACGAAGCGCCAACCCACATAGACGCCTTGATAGAGTTCTATACACCAAGGGGCTTTGAGGCCGAGTGAGTGCTACTAACAGATTGACTGGGACCGAGTTAGAAACGAACGCTTACGCAGCTCTTACGTCCAATTCTTGCTTCACGCCGCGTTAACATCGAGAATGTTCAGGCCTCGAATCATCTGCTTAGGAGCATCTTCAACTTCTTCATCAGTAAACAGAAGGCTGCCATTAGTATAGCACATATGCCGTTTTCAGATGATGATGATGATAGTGATCAAAGTGGCCAGACTGAATTCCGGAAAGGGTCTAATATGCAAAAAGCTGTCATACACACACTTTAGCATGATCCAACTTTTATTATGACCCAACACACCCTCTGTAGCCTTTGTAGCCACTGCAAAAACACTATTAAAGGAGCTGTGCAACGATTTTAACGTTGAAAGAATTGGCATTTTCTGCTTTTGATATTGTTAACTGTGTCACAAATGCCAGAAAACACACCTCCTTTCATCGCAATGTTGCGATTCCGCCGCGTAATAGCGAGGCAAAACTTGGAATATTTCCCGACCTGCAGCCACGAGCGGCGGCCATGAGAAACAAGCGGCGTGACGTCACTTGGGTCGTTGTAAGAAAGATAGCAAGTTGTGCGAATACCTGCTCGATAAAAGGTAACTCTTTTTACAAATCTTGTCGTTCCAACGTATATATAAATGCGTCAACACCCTGGTATCATCGACAACTTTTATTAAATGGAGTTTTAGTGGCGCCATCTATCCTAGGTCCACAAAACCGCGAACAGCCGCCAGAAGCCGGAGGGGGAGGGGAACAGCGCCGGACGGGCAAGGACGGGTGGTCACGCAGTCGGCAGCGGATGAGTTCTCGCTGCTCGCTGATGGCTCTAAAGAGAGAACTTTTCCGGAACTCCGCGCCTACTCTAGTGACGTCACTGTGCACGTGACCCGGAAGACGATGCACGAGTTGAGAGGCGGCAAAAACCTGGATCTTTTTCATTTTTTTAAGTAAAAACTAGGGTATCCAGGCAAAATCTGTTTTCTGTAGTTCACTGCAGAAGTTCACTGCATCAACTTCCACAATTATTTAAGCAAAGCCCTAAAATTGTTGCACAGCTCCTTTAATTTGGTAGCAGAATTTTGCTACCTAGAACCTGTGTAGACAAAGTCATCAATAACACAAATAATTTCCTCCTTCCAAGGACAAATTGTGCAATTCAACAAACAGGACTTGTATATCTCACTCGTGAAAAATTCATTGATGTTGTGGAGCTGGGAACGAAAACACTAGGATTTCGACTTTGTAGCCACCCCATAGATGTGCCGGCTGAGAAGTGGGAATATTGGCAGGTAGACCTCTCTGAAAAGGAGTTCGGGAAAACCCGCTTCAATGATGGTGTTGCTCGTGCTCCGACTCAGGTGGCACCCGCACGTCAGCAGCTCCCACACTGGGTCTACGAGCCTCTGCAACCGCAGAGTCCACGTGTTGTCCGGATATCCAATGTGCTCCATGAACAGCATCTTGCCACCCTGCGACAAAGCAAGCTTCGATATTACCGCGTTGACAGAAAACGCGGTGCACAACGCTTTTTTGCGACTTCAAATGAGGCAACATTGTCCTGCAGCGGAGACGTAAAGCAGACAAGCATGGGAACTCGCACCTGTTGAAAAGTTGTACGAATGGACGCACACAGCTGAACTCATTTAGTCGGATCACTAATTGTGCCACTTAGCAGTGTCTTTAATACCAACAGTTAGACTCGACTTCACATACTAAGCATTAAGGATAAGCCTTTCAATATTAATGTTTCTAAAAATTATGATCCCTGTTCGAAAGAAGTGCTTCTTCGCAACCGGGGTCACAAACTCTCGATGCCACGAATCAAAAGGAAAGTTTAGGACAATGTTGTGAACTGCCAGGAGTTTGGTTCACAAGCTGAACTGGAGATCTGAAAAAGGGAATCCTAGCAAGACACAAAATGGTCACAAATGTCCTGCAAGAAAAACAAAAACAAAAAACTGTGCTCCCTGAAAGAGCACTAAACAAAATATAGGCTACGGCTGCGACGATAGCCTGCGCACCAACCAAATGCGACTCACCGGAACGAGCACCCGCTTGCACTCGCTGAGTACCTTCCTGGCGTCAGGTACGGAACAGAGGACATGCGTGATCACCACAGCGTCCACGTAGTCGTCCGGCACATCTTTCATGTCCTCCCCGCAAGCCAGGATCCAACTCTCAAGCTCGATGTTGCTGTGTTTGGATTGATTATCCAAAAACTTGGTTTTGACGGAAATATTCGGGTCCACTGCCAGGTATTTAATGTTTCTGTCGACAAAGTCGAAGTTTCGACCCGAACCCACACCGACCTCCAGGACCCTAATGGCGTCCGTAGGCCTCAGTTCCGGGTCACGCGACTCAATGTTGTTAAGGTTTTGCATGATTTCCCGACGGATTCCCAGGAAGGCACTCTTGAAGAACGGACTCACAAGCGGGAAGAAGACATGTGCCGAGAAGACTTCCTGGAACTTGCGGCTACGCTTCAGCATCAGCAAGAGGAGGACGGTAGCCGTCGTCACCGGCACAACCAAGTAGATCACGATCGTGTTTCCTATTCCCATCGCTATCAGATGCTGTGCAAGGTGAGGTCCATGAACAGCTGGACGGACAAATCTGATACACAGAATGCACAGAATCTTTGAACTGACGGCGGACCGCAATGGCCTGAACCACTGTTCACTCGGTCAGTTTCGGCCGTGTTGTTGATGCCTTCCAGTTTGACCGACCTGTTGGAGAATTTTGCGCGCTTGAACCGTTTGAACTAGTACGCTAATACACGTAAAGATCGGAAATGGCTGGTTGGTTGTGTGGCACGCTAATCTCGACCTTTGAGCGAACGGCGATCTGCCCGACTAGAATTTAGTGACTCTAAACGCTCTAAACCATACAACCGCGGAACATCAGAAATTGTTCTAATGTTTTAATTGACGCAAGATTGTAAAATACTCCTTGAATTTACAGAAATAACTATTTTAAGGCTTTAGTGACTTTTAATATGATAGTAATAACCATTACTTAATAAATATTTGTTAGTTTAGAAGTTCAGCTCGACAAATAGTTAAAAATCGAGTTGTCTGCGACATCATCAGTGACCTAGGCTAGGTGGCGCAAGCTACCATCTCAGGGTACAGCGGTTAGCGTTAGTCTATCCACCTATCCTTTAGTAATTTGCACGATTTGCACACATCTTGTAAACAACATTCCGTCAAGTCGCCAAGCTTAGTAATAACGTTGATTTTACAAGTTATAAACGCTACGGCGTGGGCTACGGTTACTAAAGTCTGTACAGTAACCTCTCTACCGTTATGGCAAATGCAAACCACGGTGCACCCGACTCAACGGCGGACGGCTATCCCCGAAAGCGGTCTCTCGTTCGTCAGGAAACCGAGGATGAAGACGACGAATTTTCGGCGTTCCCGACGACCATTGAGGACTTCGGCTACTTCTTCAACGACTTTGGCCAACTGCGGAACCTCAGAACAGGCGAGCCATACCTGTTCGTGGAACGCCCGAATGATCACGACTACAATCAGGCGCGTTACGAAGCCCTCGGCGACGTGATTACCGAGCACGTCTACGGCCTTCTCGAAACCGAAACTAAGCTGAACCGCCTCACTGTACCGGTAGACGTGCAGGAGCATGAACCACACACGTTCATCTTCGCGTCCGAAGACGCCTTTACCAACAAACACCGACTTCTGATTCTGATCCACGGGAGTGGTGTCGTCAGGGCCGGACAATGGTCGCGACGTCTGATCATCAACGACTCTCTCAAGAAAGGGACTCAGCTACCTTACATCCGCCGCGCTTTAGGCTTAGGCTACGGCGTCCTGGTACTCAACACCAACGACAACTCCCGCGTCGTTAACGGCCTCAAGCTGCCCATCCGGGACAACGACACACCAGAGAGGCACGCCCGCTACGTCTGGGAACGCTTCGTCGACAAGACAGTCGCTCGACACGTTGCCATCGTGGCCCACAGCTACGGCGGGATCGTAGCCGTCAACTTGGCCATGGAGTTCTATTCGTCGTTCCGCGACCGCGTGTTCGCGTTAGGCTTAACAGACTCTGTGCACAGCTTTGCCCGCCAGAAAGTGCCGCACCGTGTGGTTCAGTTTCTCAGCAATGTCAGCAGGAACTGGGTGTCCAGCCCAGAGCCCTTGGACAGGCCCCTTCGGGATCGTCACGATGGAGTCGACATCAAGCGCGTTTCGGCCGGTACGGTAACCCACGAGATGACATCGTGGTCGGGCTTTGCGTCAGTCTTCGAGTTCCTTGAGTCTGCCTACCAAAAGACCATCGCAGCTAACGGAGATTAACCTCTGTCGAGGTCTTACCAACTTGGAGAAGCTTGTCCTTGCCGTAAGTTCTGCAGCCACTGAATGTTCACAGCTTGATAGGACTTCTGAGCTTTTCCTTTTCTTGTAGTTCTGGTAGTGCTACTGGCAAGCTGTCGTCGGGGTAAAACATCTGTAGGGAGGCTTGTTGGCATAAACTTGCGCCTTGATGCATTATGCACATTCAGACATTCATCCGTTCTATAGAAAGTGGCTCCGGGGCAAAGCTTCGGCCTACAAATCCCCAGTAGGCGGTTTTGAATCCCGGCCGAGGGTGCCTGCAATTTGCCAGAAGCTAATAGTTGAGAATGTACCGTTAAATGGAGGCTTTGGTTGCATGTCAAAAGATCTCTAGGTGGTCAAAATTAAGCCTGGCCTTCGTTGAGGCATGCCAGATGCACCTAGTTAGGTTTGGCGCATAAAGCCCTCGAATGAGCAGCCGTTCTGTAGTTGCTAAAACAATCAATCCTTGGAAATCATTTGTTTTCCAAGGATTGATCGTTCCAAGGAGTACTTTCAGGGCACTTTGAAGTGTGAACGCTGTCAGTCTGAATGCTGTCATTAACCAGCTCTGCCAAGCAAGCATGTGAGGCCGTAGTTCCACATATTGTCCGCGTCTATGAAAAAGCCTCCATGCAAATAAGTCCTTATTCAAAACAGATAGCTGCACACTTCATAAATAACAATAGTAACTATATCTGTCATGTATCAGTCCCACTTGCAAATCCCCGCGTCGAACGGGCAGTCGCCACCCCGGTCGTGGCTGACTTACAGTTTTGGACATCACGGCGGAACAAGACAAATGCAGTTTCTTTGCTAATTAGGACAACGAAACCACACTCTATCTGACTTTATTGTCGCAAACATATTGTGATTAGTATTGCAACATTAAAATCTGTGCAGACTGGCTTCAGCGACGCGGTATCCTTCAAGATGGCGTCGGGGTCTAGTTGCCTTTTCGCACAACAGATGGCGCTATTTTATATAAAGGGTCTATATAATCGGACAAACTCACTGCAGAGCAACTTTTTCAAAGGATGCTAACATTAGTCTAGCATGCATCGTCTATAGACGGCGAAGGGTTTGGAATATGCTTGCCTCGGCTTGACAGCACCAACTGGTGCTGAGTGTAGACTTGGATTCGCTGGTATGGCATCATTGGAAAGAATCAAAGCACCAAGACAGAATGGGCACCTAAACGAGACAAAAAGATTAAGTGCTCTTCATTTGCCTCTTTTACTTGTCCCTTGGCACCTCGGTTCTTTCCATTGGTGCTAAGGTGGCCACAAGAAATGAATCGGCGTCCATTTTTGAACTTACTTGCAGATTGCAGCACTTTCAGGGCACTTGGTGTCTTTAGATGTGCACAGGAGAATTTTAACATTTTAAACCAGGCGTGCCTTGTAGTTTGTGGTCAGCCTTTCTCTCCTCAGCCAGGTGAGCCCTCTTTGTAAAGTAATGCCTTTTTAATACCGTCAACAGAAGTGGTACACTCTCAGCTATACGGGTCAGTAGTTTACCTGCACTCTTTGGATGTACTTTTTTTTTTTTAGTACATTGGACACTCGTGTAAGTATTTTAGATGTAATGGAGCATGCAGACTGCTTCACATGACAGGTTGAACAGATGTTGTAGAGGGAATGATCGAAGTTTCCACATTGCATTTCAGAAATGAAATTTTTAAGTGCAAATGTTTTTGACATGACATGGTTTTCTGCACCTAGGTGGATTTTTTTTGAGTGACAAGCACTGTCTGGGGAGTTGTCTGTGAACTACCCAATGTGCCTCCGCCCATCGAAACACATTGGCATTGTGCCATGGTATCGGTTTTTGTTGCTTTTTGGGCCCCATACTGCATATTCTCAAAAAAGAATCAACAAAAAATAGATTATGCACAAAGATAGGTGCTGACAACATTGGTTTCGTGGGATGGTACCCATCGAAAATGGTGGCAGCTGGAAGTAAGGCCAGGGGAGTGGGCGTGTGCAGAGGCCTACTGGAAAAAGGTCCATTGAAACGTGTGCTGCATTCAACAAATATGCTTAGACAAACGGCATCAAATCTTTGCCATTGCATAGATAAGATTTCTTGATGATTTCAACCAAGTAAGAACTCTGTATACGATAGGCTCAAGAAACAAGGATACAAGAAACAAACAAGGGCTTAAAAGGGGCTGCTAAATGGTTTAGTTGTCAATCATCTATGTGTGAACGTCATATCTGTCTATACCTTCAACTGATATAGTGATCATTGATGGTACTGCTTTAGTTTTGTCTAGGCTTTGGGCTGGACTATTTAGGAGAGTATGTTTTGAGCATTTCATTCGAGGACTCATTAGTGGCACTGATATGCTAACGCATTTTAGTTGTGGCACGTAAGTGATGCTTGCATTTATATATACGTTTTTGACAAGCCAGTATTCATAAAAAGTCAACCATTGCATTGTGCTTTTTGCATGAAGTAAGAATAAATACCTTTTTACATCTTTACAGCCCATTGAAATCTGCCAAATAAGCTCTAAATTAAGCGAGCGCAGTGAGGTGTAAATGTGGTGGCAGATACTTAAATTAAAACATACTGCCTGAGCATTTTATACCAGCCTGCAACTTCAAACTAAGTTGTGTTCGTTGGTAGTATTGTGTAACTTGTGTGTAGGATTTTGGCTGGTCTGTTTAATTAAGTATGCTCTGAGCATTCCATTCTTGTTTTCTTGTAATTCTGCCATGACCTTGAAATCATTAATGGCACTGTGTGTCATTATAGGATATGCAGGAGTTCCAAAACATTTAGGTACATGGTTATGCCTGCATTTATGCGCTTTTGATAATCATTCACCATTGTTAATCTGGTATCAAGAGTTATCTTTGTGTTGCGCTTTCCAGAAATTGTGATAAGTCAAAACAAATTAGGTTTGGATTTTTTTAGACATTTTTAAAGGTGAAAGTGTCTTTAGTATTTTCTAAAAGTCGGCCGTTTTTTACAGCCCTTTTTTTTTTTTTTCATAAGGTGTTACTTTGCATTGTTGTGCATACTATGGATACAATGCAAACCACCTTGTCCCTGAAAAAAAAAAAAAAGTGATACCTTTCTTTGCATGAGAGATGAGTAAAGGAAAATGCAAGTAAAACTGAATTGTTTCTGAGAGTCACGTTTTCTTTTCACTGGGATGCATAACACTAGCAGTCCAAAATCCTTGGGCAGTTTATAGCAGAATAACCTTTCAGGGGTTTCCTCAGGAATTGAAATTGGGGTGAGGGGGGGGGGGGGCGGGGCGGGGGGCATTGAGAATAGAGGGGTCGTTGTGAATTAAGGGGGTGTTTTCGGAAAAACAAGGGGGCGGGGGGGGGGGGGGGGAAGGGAGGGGGTGTAAGGAAATCACTGCAATCTTTAGTGTCTGAACTTTTTGGTTGTAGATTTTCAATCTGAGCTTGAGAAAGCATTTCTCATCTGAAATTGGGTGCTTACGGGAGAGAGTAGCATTTCTGGAGATCATTTTTGAGAATCATTCTGGTTACAGTAAAACGACTTTATTATTGGAAAACCAATCTCCAATGCAACTAAGAGCTTCCTTAGTCATATGTAGCTTCTATGCATTGCAAGTAAGTCTAAAATCTTAGTTCTTTTAGCAATTAAGGAGTTTGGTCCATTGGTATACGTTCGTGGATGGGGTACCAGTATATTTGACACTTGTGTTATAAACAAATAGATCGGTAGAATGCAATTAAAGAATGATCATCAGCTTTTTAAAGTAAATGTCTTAACACACCTGGAAATTTTTCACAATGACCTTGTAACTTATGCTTCGACTGATCATAACTAAATTTACAGCTCTTCTTTAGCACAGTATCCTGTGGCCATGGCAGCACATTTTATGCAACTGTCTTAACCAGACAAAAATTATTTGATTGGTGGCACAATAGAACTGAAGACCTAAAAAAAGACAACTATGTGAAGGTAGTCGACCTACAGGGTCAACCTGTAAAGATTAAACATGAGGGCAGGAGAAAATGATATAAACAACTTGGAAACAAGTCTCTATGAAACATCAGCTGACAGTTTGACACTTCCAATCACGTCTCCTCTCAAGCAACTGAGGCCATAATTTGTTCAAAAATGAGATGAGGTAATTATGAAATTTTTATTGTTTCGCTTGCAAGAGATGTCGTAAATTTTTGATGACTAGCAAGATTAGACAATTAAAATTCAAATAGACTGGGTGAGTGTAGTAAGTAATTTATACAAACTCGTTAATCGTTTTAATGCATACTTCAAGACACCCATAATGAGGCATCCATACAAAGACAAAATTGTGTGGCGACAATTTATATGCATAAGTTTCATGAATACAAGAAATAATAAATAAACAGTGAAACCGAGCAGTGCTTGTAGTCTCCGTTTAAGCTTGCATGATGTCGTAATAAATCAAAAGCTTGGGAACTGACACCGCATCATTCATTTCAGGAGATATCCGCGTTAATACTATATATAGGAGGGATCACAGTCAAACTTGAAATGGTTCTCCATTGAAAATTGTAAAAAAATATTGCGCCTGGGAAGGTAGCGTTATACCTTCAGATATATACATATAGCAATTGTGATTTGAATCGCAAAAGTTTTGTTCTAAGGGTGGATCTTTAATTCTTCAGACATATATGCGAACACCAGCTATTTGTCATGAGTGCTGGTGAAAATAAAAGTCTTATCTATATCCTCGCAATATATGTAGAGTCATTGAAACTAGCAATCATCAGAACAGCTGTTCTATTTTAATGCGAGGAATGTATAATGTGGCAATAGAAAACATGATTGTTTTCTACACGGGTTCGCCGTCTACATGTTGCCATCACGGGCTATTTACCAACGAGCTCTCGAGCCCTTGATTAAGCGCTATTATTTCACTGCTTTTCCAACGAGGGTCGGACGCACGAGGTAAGGCAGGCCGCTTGGATGATAGACATTCTCGTAGATCTCCCTGAAGCCGATGAACTCGACGTACATGGGCACGTCCCTGGTAAGGTGACAACCGTCGCTGATGACGGACCAGAGCGGCTGGATTGCCCGCTGCAGCGTGTGGGACCAGGTACCCTCCTTGTAGCCGATGTGTTCCACGTAGTAGAAGCTACCGCCCTAGAACAATAAGCGTAACACTGTGAAGAGGTGATTGCAGAACTTATCCACGCGGCCGCTCAGGCTAGCTCAGGGACGGGAACGTCATGGCCACTCAATCCGCCATTTTTGATCCAACGGGAAACAGCTGAGCAGGCGTGACGCCTATCGCTAGTTTTAGTGGTTCCGCGTTAGAGTCGTTTAGCATTCTGGTCGCCCTTTCGTTGCTAGCGGGAGCTCGTGCTGTCACTTTAAAGCCCAGATTGTTCGCTCGTGCACGGCCACTAGAGCATCCCTGCGCGATGCGCAGCGAGAACTTTCTCGAAAAGTTGACTAGAACACCACGGCAATGTGGGCGTGTCATGAGGTCGGTAACTATACGGAATACGACAAGAACCAGGAGAAAATTCCTTAAAGTAAACTTACGTCTACGAGAATCCTCTTAATCTCCCGAATCGTCTGGCCCATGTCTTGGACGGAACACATGACGAGCGTGGACACCACGCAGTCCACGCTAGCGGACGGAATGTCCGACATGTCTTCCGCGCACCCCAGAACGAAGCGCTCCACGTCGACGTCGGGAAAAGCACTTCGGTTCTCCTTGAACAGCTTCTCGAAGTAGGGATTGGGCTCGACCGACACCAGCTTGCAGCCTGGCGGATAGTACTCCAAGTTGGTCCCAGTCCCGACGCCTATCTCCACGACGCGAATGACCCCCTCTGACCGCAGGGTCGGGTCGTGAGAGACAGCCTGCCGCATGTCCGCGAAAAGCTCCCGCTTGTAGGGCGCTAGGATCTTGGCGTTGTGTTGCGCGTAGTACTTGGAGTACGCCCAGGCGAAGAAGCGACGCTGGGCCTCCTTGCGCTGTTTTCGGGACAGCAGACACATCACGAAGAGCGTCAGCGGCACTCCGACGAAGAGGTAGTGTCTGAAGTTCTCGCTGGTCTGAGGAAATCTGGCCATGGCTACCGGGCTGCGCAGAAAGGGCAGGGCAAACTTGATTGACACGGGTTCGCCGCTGGTGAACAAAAGACAGGAAAGATCGCGTGTGTAAAACAAACAAAAGAATTTCAGATGACGGCGCCCGGCGACCCTTCTCTCGGTAGCAGACGATATTTCTCGAGTGGCGCGTACGAGGGAGACTGCCTGTGCAAACGCGGGAACCGGTTTTTAGCTGGCCGGAAAAAAAAAGTCACCTTCGAGACGCTTGGAAGCGCCGAAATCGAGGTCCTCCCTCGGCCCGCCGACGAAAGGAGAGAAAATAAGAACGGGTCGGGCGTGGAAGTAGGCTGCAAAAACAGTCGGGCGAGTGCCGAGGTAAATAACACCGGTGTTGTCAGCGGGTGCGCATAACCCTTGTTGCGGGTTCGGCTTTCCTCCTGAACACGCGTTGTCTGCGGTCAAAACAGCTTAAGGGAGTTGGGAGATTCTAGGTGCTTACACCAGAAATAGAAACGGCATGCTCGAGGTGCGGCTAATTTCGTATAATTTAAGGCTCTCCGGAAAACAGGACTAAAGAAGCAACGGCAGTACCAAGGTTAAACGTGCTCTTCTTGTTAAACTATTATAATTAAACGTACAATTTTTTCTCTAAATGTTTTAACCTTTTTTTCAGCAGTTCACGCGTCTTTATTCTTTTTCTCCTTGTAATTTTATGTAGTCATTTTTGTGCTATAGATCTCGAGCTTGAAAGCCTCAACAGCAGGTGACATTGTTAATTGGTGGTAACGCCACACAATAAACCAGGACAGAGATAAGTACTAAACAGGGTGAGTGTTGTATCACTAAACAAACTACAGAGATAGGTATACATATCCCTGTGCTTGCTTATTGCATGTTGTATCGCCAATTTGTAAGAATCAACCAATTCGCCTGCATTGCCGTTTTGGACACATTGCATTTGGGTCATCCCAAACAGTTACATTTATTTACGAAGAAACTCACTGCATCGCCATTCGGCATCATTGCAGGAAGTGGGTTTAAAGTGCATGTGTATATTAGGGGATCGGCTAGATTTCGGCGGGGGGGGGGGGGGGGGAGAGAGAGAGAGAGAGAGAGAGAGAGAGAGAGAGAGAGAGAGAGAGAGAGAGAGAGAGAGAGAGAGAGAGAGAGAGAGGAGAGAGAGAGAGAGAGAGAGAGAGAGAGAGAGAGGAGAGAGGAGGGCGGCGGCTGAAGCACTCATGCAGCTGAGATTCAAATTCACATTGAAAGGGGCGGGTGCAGAGATGCTTGCACATCAGGTTTTTGGTATATCATGCATATCTCCAGAAGGCATTGTTGCCACCTTTATGGACCAGGAGCTGTTTGTTTCATTGAAAATTGCAACCCTCCTACACAAACAGACATACTATTTTTTAGCCACCTTGTGTAATCTGGGGGTCTATGCTACAACCTGCATTTAATAAACATTTCTTTTTCTAAATGTCCTGCCCGTCTTTTTTTCTAATTCAGTTTACATTTAGGAAAACGGGGTTTCCAAAGATTAAGGCAAATTTTTCACACTACAAAACTGCTCCAGGCAGTCGACCATCTTGCCATGTCTGCAGGTGTTCCATGCAAGTGCAGTGTCTGGCCTTACCGAGGCTTCACTGTCCCCATCGTTAAAACCTTATTTTTCCTGCCTAAAATTGGGCCAACAAACCTTGATTTGACACCCTTCTTGTGGTGACATAGATCCTGTGTTTTCCCATAACCACTGGTTTGGCTACAAGCAGAGGATTAAATACAGTAAGCTAAATCATCGATTCTACGCCCCTGCAACTACAACTGGAACAAATTATAATCGACTACAACGGCATTCCCAGTAACGAGACGTGCGTATAAGAAAAATAGGTTTATTTGGGCAGGGTGCCACAGAAGCACCGCAAAGTGCGTTCAAAGTATGGCGCTTTCCGACTTGCGAGATGAGATTTGCAGAGACGCTGATTGACACTCCGAGGTTCTTCCGGTGGAAAAGAAACTCAAACTTGTACGAGCAATGCCAAAGAAAAAAGAGAAGTCCTAAAGCTTTCCGAAACAGCTATCTTTGTTCGAAAATTGGAAACTCCCCAGTAAAACGCAGGAGCACAACATCCTTGATTACAAACGGGTTATACGACGTTGTAATACAGGAGAGTACGACTCCTAAAAAGAAACAACTCTCGATTATGATATACTGAAGATATCCCAAACACCTTCAGGAAAGGCTGAAAGCTCAGGAAAATTAAATAACCCGTTCACAATACAAAGGTTTAACGAAATCCCCACGAAAAATGTCTAGAAGTTTGTTTCTTTCGCTGCTTGGCTAAAATGAGGTTCTTAACCGTACATCCTCTACACAGTTTTAGATCAAAGAATCATCATGATGGGCAATGCTGTGAACACTTGGAAATAGCTTAACTGACACAGTGCACGCAGTTAAAACACCGAGAAAGACACTGGCCTTCGCTCCTCGGCCCATTTGGCCGTACTAAGATACAGTCGTTCCATGCATTAAAAAATGTCATGCACCATTGTTGCACACCGTCGATGGCTTTATACTGAACAAAACACCTTTTGACTGAATAAATAAAGTACAAAACAGTATTCAAGATATATGTTTGACAAGCAAACAAGGGCCAACAGAGAAAGCTACCAAACTAAATTGTTCCCAGTTGCAAAGGCATCTTGAAAAAAGAAAGAGTAGAACTCAAGCTTTCGGACAGTGATAAAAACTTGTAATCTAACAGCACAATCCACTATATTTAGGAAAAAGAAGAAACAATAACTCAACTTTGAATCATGCTGATTTGCAAAACTGTCGACAGGGTGAAATTTCCCTCTACACACCGAAGAACTTGGAACTTCTGGAATTGCACGGAAGTATAGGTATAATCATTATTGTTGATTACGACTGATTCTGTTCATTAAGATAACCTGCATAACTGTCGCTGCCAAGAACAAAGAACAATATGAGCTGCTGCATGAACCATTAGACGGCATCCATTTTAGAAAGAGATCTACCAAACACAGTACAGCTATTCAGTTACAAGACGCAGCGCCGAGGTAGACCTCAAACAGCACGCGCACGATATGTTCCGAGATCCAATGAGGAATTCGAATCGGCCAATAACTAACAAGGCTAGAGCGCTGCCACACAACGTGATGTGTGTTCAAGGCAGTGCGCGATGTCAATGCAGTTCACATGTTGTTCGCAAAGAGCCTGTTGGGACCGTAGCGTGCGGTCTTCTGTCCAATGGCTTCAACTTGAAAGCCTATCTTCTCGAGCTCGGCTACATCCACGATGCGCCGTCCGTCAAACAGGAAGGGCGGCTTCAGCATGCTGTCGTAGATCTTCTTGTAGTCGAGCACCTTGGAGGACAAATGGGAAAAGTCAATTTATGACAAATGCTCTGTAATTGTTCATTCCCAGCCTGTGTCTATAGTGAGACTTGTTTTCAGAATTACGAAGAGTAGGCTTGCGATAATTCAAACTCAATATTTCATACTTCTAGGAAATTCAAACAAATTTCAAAATTTTGGTTGTCCCGCTATGTTTGCAAAGAAAAAAGTGAAAGCCGTTTACAACTCCCTGTAACGCCGAATTAGAGTACAGCTCTTGAGGAGGAGGAGGGAAGGGTACTGAGGGGAGGGTAGACCCCTTCTCCTCCTCCTCCTCTCATTCTTCTCCGGGGGGGGGGGGGGGGAGGGGGGAGGGGGAGGGGGAGGGGGAGGGGGAGGGGGAGGGGGAGGGGAGGGGGTTTTATTCCTTTTCTTCTAATTTTGTAAACCAGCAAACAAACATTTCCTCAAAATAACTGGCAGGAAGAAGTGGAGGCTGGCTTCCAAAGTTATTTCGACTAAATCCCTCATTATTCACCCGGCCGACCTAAAACATGCGAGACCCCCTTGCGATCGAAGTAATCTAGTAAGTCGGTGACACTTCAGCGTCCTAGAAAATGAGGAATATACCTGCTATAAATTACTACAGTTTTTATGTTTCGTTTTTGTGAACCCAAATGCGCATAATGCATGCTGCGCTCGTGAGCGAGCCATTTTAAATTTGTAAACAATTCTTGGTAAAAATAGGATAGGACAAATAAATCAATAGCCCCAATTTGCCAGGCGATGGCCGACAATTTATGAAAATTTCTGATTTTCTTTCGAGCAGAAGTTGCGATGTAACAAACTTCTTTGCCGCGTTTTCGATTCGGGAGGAGCTAAGCATCAGTTGCTGACGAGCATTTGCTTGGCAGCAACTGTCGAGTCACACCTGGATAGAAGCATCAGTATCGGCAAGCTCAATGCAGCTAAAACAGGTGTGCGGCGCTTTCCAACGCAACTCTGCGCACGTGCACAGCTAAGAAGACACTACGTCAATTTGTGGCTGCAAAACCTTTTTCTAGAGCGACCTCCACAGATCTGAAAAAAAAAAAAAGAAAGTCGGAGAGGCTCTGAATAGCCCCGATGCACGCCGCGCAAGCTGTAATGTAATGCTGCAGGCTTGTTTTTGTACATTTTAAAGTTTTCCTAATAAGAAAGCAACTTCGAGGCGCTGTTATTTATAAGAACGATTACTCACAAAAACGCCATACGCGTTTCTTTAATAAATAATCCGATTTAATCTGCATAGTTGCGAACTAACATAGCCACTCCGTGCTTTGACATAGTGCGTCGTCTGCTCGCATCCTACCAGCTGCGTCGTAGGAGGGCGCCCGCGAGGTGGCGCAACCAAAAACATCTCGTCGCCAATAGGGCCTCCGGACAGAGGGCGACTACCTGTAGCGCGGACGTGAATGACGTTTCTCGTTTCTCTGTCTTGCATTTGGAAGCCCATATGAGCAGCTTGCATTGGAGTTCAGGAACTGAAACCACGCGGAATATAGCTCCAAAAACTCTTCAGCACCAAGAGCTGCCCCGCTTTCCAAGATCTTCGCAGGCAGAAGCGACGAAAGTAATTGCATCGTACGTCGGCGCTTTTTAAATCTCCCATCTAACTGTGTGATCAGGTAATCCACGATAGCAAGGAACACGGAGCACTTAAAATGCTCTTCTGTGCTTCTAGCGGGAATGTTACAGCGGTGACGTTGCTGACTTGTTACTCGCGGCCTCTCAATTTCAACTTCCGTTGTCTCATCCATTTTAATGACGGCTTTGAATATGGCCTAGTGTTTGTGAACTTGCTGCAATTTTTCTGCGTCGAAATTTTTTTTTTTTTTTTTTTGTGTGTTGCTGTTTGATGTTTTACAGTATAGTTATATTTTTTCTTTTGTTTTGTCTGGCCAGCATGCATTGGTTACGCAGTGCTACCTCAAAAAGCGGAGGGAGTTGTGTGCTGTGAGGAAGCTTTTAAAGTTGGTGGGCCGCAACTACGACGACAGTAGAAAAGGGAGCCCGAATGAAGCCTGCAACGTTTTTAAAAATAACAATGCAGCTTCACCTGTTTTATCTTAACAGCGCCTCTTTAATCTTTGCATGAGCGTCCATAGCCCCGAGTTCACCCTGCTTTTTCATGGGGAAGGGGGGGGGTTATTGCCTTGGAACTCCTCCCGAAATAAAATCCTGGCTACGCCACTGACCGCATTCCAGTACGGTGCTCGTCCTATACAAGTAGTAGTACTATATTACAATACTATATTACATACTACAGGTAACGCTGCCTATTACAGTTTGCTTTGGCAGGCGAAATGTTGCCCAATTCCCCCACAATAACAAGACAGACGGACAGTTGCTTGTGTCCGTAGAAAGAAAACCGTCAAAAAATGTGTGCGAGCACCTTGAACTCGTCCCATTCCGTGCAGATGACCACGGCGTGAGTGTCCTGCGTAGCCGTGTAAGGGTCTTGGGAGATCTCCAGCTGGGACAACACTGCAAAATTGTTTAAGCGATTCAGTCGGCCATTTGTCCAAGAAATGGTACAACCTTGTTACAAGGGATCTGCTTGCAGCGGACATTCCGTTATAACATACCGACTTACGAAGTTTGGTTAGTCTTCCTATTCATGCCGTTGAGCCAACTTTGCTAGTTACAGATTCTGTTACTATAGCACACATTCCGATATAATGAACTGAGTTAGGGGGGGGGTTTGTAAATAGTTCACCACCTATTATAGCACACTGTTCGACAGCAGTCACTATTTCGGACATCATGCAGCAGCGGTGGCATCGATTTTGCAAACTGCTTGGTGCCTCACAAGCCTCTTGTGACCCGAAGCATGCAGAGATGATGATCGTTAGTACAGCTCAATAAGAAAAAAGTCACTATACCTTTCAAAGTTCAGAAGTTTCAATAAACCAGTTCTTTTCTAATATCCATTAACATTTCAACAGTCTCACTGATCACAACAGACTCCAGTCATAGTGCACGTCAAAGTCTGTAGTAAGAGCATCTGCATTCTGCATACTCCTTTTATAACAGACCAAAAACCTTGAACACCATCAAGGTCTGTTATAATAAGTTATACCGTAGTTAGGGTTCGCCCACAACCATTTATACACGATGACCCAACAAGTTTAGAAATTTAGAAGAAAGAAAATTGCGACCTACCCCTGTCATCTTGAGCCCTGGACGTGAGATCACTGAAAACAAACGGCCCGTTTCACATTTACATTAGTAACAAACTTGGTCAAGCACAAGGACTTCAGCAGGTTTAAAGCATTGGTAGAGTTAACCTGCCTGCTATGCCTCCATTTTATGAACATGTCTTACAATGATGTTCCTATGGCACCACTAAGGGGCTATGTCCCTGTGTGACCATAACAGCCATGGTGCTTTTACAGCACCATTAAAGCTAAGGCTCCACCCTAATTCAAAGGAGGGCAATGTGCTCAGAGCAATTGTTTTAAGGTTCATTACTCCATGGCAATTAAAATGCTCAAACAGGCAATACTGAGATGCATGTCATTCATTTGTACTATTGGTATGCCAATCCCTGCAAGGTGATAAAGAAAGAGTTCAGTGGCTTTGTTTAAAATATGCAAGTACCTCTGATCTTGGCTATATTATTAAAAAAAAATACTGTTATATTTAGAAGATTTGTAGGCAGACTTGAAAAGCCCGTCATTCAATTTCTATGTCTTGTACTAAAACAATTTGTACCCATGTATTCCTTGAATCTAGGACCTTCAAAAGGTGTGGCGCTACCCATAAGATTGTTTTAAGCAGCCGTCCTAAATTTAGGGGATGCGAGTTGCTCCAAAAAAAAATTAAAATGATATAACTTTAATAAAGTAATGCAAAGGGCATTACTTTTGCTTAATTGCACCCATACTTTCTAACAAAATAGGGAGTTTTAGAATAAAGTTTGCAATTTTAGCGCACGCTAGCGCTAAATTTAGCGCTTGCGTTGGTGCATTGGATGCAAGAAAGTTTTAGAATACCGTTTCTCTGCTGCGACGCAAAAGCCCAAGCATCTCGTGATTACGACACCACCAAAATACAGTCACAATTTTTATTTCACATACCAAATGCTGTAACTTGAGAAAAAAAACAAGTTTTCTGGTCCAGAGTAACATTTTAGATTTTGTTTATACATGAGAATGTGACGCGAGCTGTCGACTGGTCATGTCCGCTTGCGTCGCCTCGGCAAGAGAAGTCTCGTTTACTGACCTTCGCACACCGTACCTTCGCCAAAAAATGTTCGAGCATTGCAAGCATCAAGTTGCCGGTGATTGTTGCCAGACTGAGTGCAATGTCGTCCCGCATTGAAAATTGCAGTCGCGAGGATGCCGCCGACGTCGCATCACACTGCCGCCAAAGCAGCCGCACTAGGTCCTGGAAGCCGCCATTTTTTAACTGTGCTCGTCTTGGATTTAGCCAATTTCTCATCTTGAATCCTACTTGGCGGAGCGCAAAGCGGCACAAAGACTTTGCGTATGCACCCAATTTCCAAAAAATAGCGCACTTAAAGCGCAAAACGCAGTTAGCGTTCGGCGCGTGCGCAGTGGCGACGATGCTATTCTTTGCGTACGCAAAGCTTTAGCATGCGCTATTCTAAAACTTCCTATTAAGTCAAAGCAATAGGAATAAGTTTTTATAAAATAGTCAAATATATAAATAAATAAAAATATACGCACTCAATTATTTGCTGCTTCGGGACCTTGGGGTCGTATATGTTGAGGAATGCACCTTCTTCAAGCAGATGCTTGCACACGTAAATGGCAGGAGACTCTCTGGAAAGAGATGAGGAACCAAAAAATTGCAGCCAAAAAAGCTATTGCTAACAATAAAGAAACGAAAGCTTTACTTTACGAGCAATTCAGGTGGGTGTCGAAAATCAGTGGTTAATACCCACTTCAGCTTTTCTGGATTTGAAAATGATTTGAAAGACCCTTGGTTTAAGCTTTTTAAGGTGTACCAAGCATCACTTTTAGAGATACAAACATGCGAACCGGACGGCAGAACACCCTAACCAGATCTTGATTTTCATTTGCAAATAAGACTTGTACGGTAAATAATTCACGCTAAAAAATGCACAATGCTTTGTCCAGGGGCTCCGGAAGCGGGGGGGCAGGGTGGGCTTGAGCCCCTCCTGTCCTCAGGACCGAGCTGCCGAGCCCCCCCTCCCCCTCCCTCTTTTTTTTTTTTTTTTTTTAGTTTGTGTGTTTGCAGGTTATCTGGTATGGGCCTTCGGCCTATCTGCTGTACCTCCGTCTCTCCTGAGCCGAAATAAATGAAATGACCCTTTATGCATGCTGACCTACCGCCCTCCTCACCTCCGCCAAGCACAAAAAGCACCGGGACGACGGAGAGGCTTGCTTGAAAAGTCAAAACCAGAAGAAAATGACAGGCAGGACTCATGAGCCTGATTGACAACCAGTTTAGAGCGAGCAAAGAGGAGACAGCAAAATGAATGGATTCCGACAAGACGACGTCGGCGAGCGTTTGTCTGCTTCCCCCGTGTGGAAGCAAGAAGCCCAGAAGATGCATGGTGCTTCTGGCCCGTGGACAAAACAGGCAGGCGGTACTACCGCGGCGCTTAAAGGCCATCATTAGGAGAGGCGGGGGGGGGGGGGGGGGGGCTGGTGAGCTTGAGTGGGGATTCGGGAGTGCTTAGAAAAGGCGAAAGTCTACGAGCTCCCAAATTTGACAAGGCGCCTTCGATGGCGAAAGCTTTGCGCGCATGCGGCGTCGTGCCCGCAGGGTGGTGAGGCATGAGGCGACACATGTTTACAAACTCAGGACAACACAACACGAAGTCTGAAACACAGCTCTTATCCTTCAGTACCCTCCTTTTGTGATGCCCCCCAACTTGTATTGACGCCAGGAGTCCGAAGCGATCACGGTCGATGTACTTGATCCTGAGGTACATACCGATGTATGCAACCTCTGCTTCCAGTTAAGACATCCGATGGCCCAACTTGCTGTGTTTGAGACTCCGTGTTGTGTTGTCCTTTTTTCCCCCGAGTCTCGGGGTTTTGTCTAAAACTTTTAACACTTGTTTGCCTACGTCTGCGTTAATACATCATGCTTCCCCGAGAATCCCTAAATGAAGGAAGGTTTTCATTTTTAGACATAGCCAATTTGGCATAGGTACAGCTGCGGTTGACATGTAACAGTTGGTATAGGAAAGAAAAAATAAAGAACACATGGTGCGGCTGATTTCAGTGGTTATCCAATCATTGTATGAGTTGTCAGTGCAAGCTTCTCACTGTTATTTTACTGAACCATTGTTTTAATTTGTTTTCCATGGATATGTGCGTGAATATGCGAACGCGGTGCATTAATATGTTTTCATTCAAATGTGGCAATTAATGTCAACCTGAAACCAACCTAACCTTGAGGATTTCGGAGATGTCGAGCCCCCCCTCTAAAGAAAGTGGCTTTGTCGACTTAGGGAAGCTAGAGATGTGCAGTGTTGATAGCAGGACAAAACATAATTTGCGCAAACAAACTAAAACCACTTATATAGAATAAAAAAAAAAAAAGAACAACACTCACCTAGGACTGCTCAAAACCAAAGAAGAAGGAAACATGACCAATGTATATTTATGAAACATTGTTTGAGGAAAATGGCCAATAGCAGTTGCAACAGTTATGCTTTTTCGGGTGTGCAATGTAAGAATGTTCACAAGTTAGTAGCAATGGGGGGGCAATGCCTCCTTCCTCTTTTATGAGGCGATTTTGATCCCGAGGCTCGCCTTAAAACAAACCATAAAAATTGGTGCCCATGCATAGCAAGCTGAAATTTTCATAAAATTTATAATTTCGTGGTGCATTTACCGCGTGAAATTTCTAGGCATGGCTACGTTCCTGTGGACAATAAGAACATCATCCTTAGGAATTTCAATGGCGGCTGCTGACACAGATGACTGAGTTGCACCAATCTGAGTTTGCTGCTCCTATCAACAGGTGGCGCAACATGTTGCAATTGGGGGACGCCATGACAATGGGCATCAATCAGATTGAAAATAATCTTTTCGTAACCTAACCTCCCTCAAAATTAATCATGTACCGCGGTGTTAGCACCCAAACAAAAAAAATGAAGGCAAACACTACTGTGTAAGCCTGCCACAAAAGCATAGCTGCTTTCAATGGCCTGCTGTACCACCTCTCAACGGAAGCACCAAACACGATCCCCGGCACAACAAAATCGCCTGCTTCGGTGCCCGTTGCTCAAATTTTCAAAAATGTAATTCGAACTTTTTTTTTTTTTTTTTTTTTTTTTTACGGGAACAGGGTTTTATTTTTAAATTTCAAGTGAACTACACAGCTAAAATGCACTTTTCATGAAAATCTGAGCTTGCTACATGCAGTCATCTATTTTTGCGGCTCACCAAACACGACAGTCGGATCTGCCACAACCTGCGACAAATTTTAGCGACATTTCAAACAAGAGCCTCACTCTCAGACTGACATAAACCCTCCCTCGCTACCCTAACAGCCTGAGAAGGGGAAAACCAAAAAGAGCTTCTGCCTTGCAGAAAATTAACGTTATAAGTATTAAGCTTGGTTAGTTAACACCTTGAAATAGGACACTGTGTTCCAATGAAATGCAGGGTTCTCTCTTCCCTTTAGTTTCCACTGGAATGTTTACAGGTTAACAAGGTAAATATTATAATCTGACTCAGGGTTCTCCCCAGGAATTCTTTTAGGGGTGGACATCACCCCCCTGCGAGCGGTCGGGGAAGGGGGGGAGGGGTTTTAATTGCAATGTTTTATAAAATTGCATTAAAAGGCATAAATGTACAGCAAGCCTTCCGTTGGTCAGGTTCACTCGGGCACTTTATTCCAGTAACAAAATAGCAAAAGTGCCTACAGTTTTAACCTCCTGCTCTTGAGCTTCACCCATTTCTCCATCACCTTGTCATATAAAAAGTCTCTCATGCTAAGTCCCTCACATGCAAGGCGTACCAGGCAATCAAGTGACTCTTCCTTCAGCCAATTCCTTAGCTGAAATTCGATCAGCTTGACAGCAGAAAAGTTTCTTTCACAATCTGCTGTTTGCGATGGCAGAACAATTGGTATACACCTGCAATGTGCACCACAGTAGGGTACAGGTCCTTAATGTCTGTAGCTACACACAGCAAAAACTCGGTTGCTGCCAGTTTCTGCAGTTTTTCAGACTCGAGAATAAGGTGGGCAAAGCCCTTCTACTCTCCCAATATATCTGGATTGTACGCCTTGCCTAACATGGGACACAGTGTTGTGAGTGCGTTGAACATTTCAGCCCCGTTGCCAGCCATGATGCTTTCATAGTCCTCTGGCAAAAAGTGTGGAAAAAAGTCAAAGTTGGGTGGTCCTCAAATCTGTCTTTGATGTTTTTTATTAGCTTCATAATAAATGTTATATTTGTGGCTTCTAGCCCCTGCTCCGACTCCTTGGCCACTGTAAGTGAGATGCCTTGGGAGAAAGAAAAGTCTTGAACCATTGTCTGTGAATCCTTCTGCATGTCCAGTGTCTTCAGTGTTGACCTTATCCCTTGCACAAGGTCCATGTGCAAAGATCTCAACTGAAAAGACTTGGACAGCTGCTCGACGTTGGGGAGCACTTCACTCATCATTAGTAGTGCACCGATGAACTTCACATCTATAACAAACTTGAGCACTCCTGCTGCCCTTACATCGCTGCACTCCTCTGCTTTGTGAGAAAGGCCAACAGTGATGGCTGCAAGATTGTTCTGCCCAGCTGTGCAGGATCCCGCTGCACCAAGCCAGCGCGTGTGACTGGCTCAATAATCTTGCCTCCAGCATGATGAGCATCCAGAATGTTTTGCACGGCTCTCAAACTTGCCGCGCGAACAGGACTAGATGCATAGAAGTTGTATAGCTGTTGAAGCAGATCCTTAAATTTCTTGACATAGGGAACTGCTCCTGCAGCTTTGTTAGCTGCCAGGTTTAGCTTGTGGGCTACACAATGAATTCCTAGAGCCTGACAGGTATCAGGGTAGCTTTACAGCTCCTCCTTTTTTGCTCATCATAACAGGAGCTCCATCTGTGCCAATACCACATAGCTTATCAAAGGCTAGGCAATGTTCACAGCATTGAGTGCCAGTACAGTTCCTTCGCCCAGCTTTGGATCACCACTCTTCAGCACATCAATAATTGAAAGAAACTTGACTTAAATTCCCACCAAAAATGTACCTGCAGTGGATGACAAATAGCTCTACATCTGTGCAGCCAGTCGTCTCATCAAACATGAGAGCATAATTCTCACTCTGCTGAACATCCTGCAGGATCTCAGCTTCAGTTATGCTTGAAAGGCGGGTTAACATTTCATGGATCAACCTCTGGCTACAATACGTAGCATTCACTGACAGTCTTCATGCTTCCAAACACTTTCTAATTTAATCCTCTTGCACAGCTTTTCATTCTACACGGAGCTCATCGTAAACAATCTCTCGTCGTATTCTACACAAAGCTTGCAGAACATCCCACCTCTGCGCTCATCGCAAACAAGCCAGGGAAAATTGCGAAGCCATGATTTGTAGAAGGCTGATGCGTGCTTGCACTTGTCTTTGCCGGTATTCTGCACGCTGCGTGCAGTCTCTTCGCTCGGAGTCAGCTCATCTGGCATTTTCGAAGGCTCGAGTTGCTTTGACGTGGGCACCACCGAGGCGTCATCCACTGCGTTCAGCATACCTCGGCAAACCTCACTCATGAGGGCCCCCACTCACCCTCACTCACCCTCATCTTCACAGGTGAGGTGAGGGTGAGTGAGTTTCTGAACCAGGAAAATTCATGAGTGTGAGGGTGAGTGAGGGTCGTGAGTGCTCTGAGGGCGGTGAGGGCGGTGAGGGCCGTGAGGGCGGTGAGGGCGGTGAGGGCCGTGAGGGCCGTTAGGGCGGTGAGGTTCGTGAGGTTCGTGAGGTTCGTGAGGGCGGTGAGGGCCGTGAGGGCGGTGAGGGCCCTGAGGGCCGTGAGGGCCATGAGGGCGGTGAGGGCGGTAAGGGGTATGAGGGCGGTGAGTGGCGTGAGGGCCGTGAGTGTGTGAGTGGTGTGAGGGCGGTGAGTGCTTGAGGGGTGTGAGGGCCATGAGTGCGTGAGGGCAGTGAGTGGCATGAGAGGCGTGAGGGCCATGAGGGCCGTGAGGGCGGTGAGCGCATGAGGTGTGTGAGGGCCATGAGTGCGTGAGTGCGGTGAGTGCGTGAGGCCCCCTTCAGATCGAGCATCTTTCTCAGCAATTTTGGTGTTAATGGCGGGTTGTTCTCTAGTTTTCCCTAGATCGACACGAATTGCTGAGATCGGGTCTGGCTCGAAATAAGCAAGTAACCCGGAGCAATTCGAATGCGTTTGAAGCGGCTGCATCCAATCAGGGACGCAAAATTTTCACGTGATACCTCGTGCCGGTGATGATGACATCGAAAGATTTGGTTCTGGTTTGAAATCAATCATTTTTTTGGAAATAAAATGTTGCAGAAAGGTGCATTAGTATTCTTAACGAGATTTAAATGCATAAAAACACGTTTATAACGCGTAATTGTGTCTAAATAGTGCAAGAAAATAAAAATTTATGATGACGATGGCAAATTGCAGCAATTGGTTGCCGCGTGTGATCGCGGCCGGCCCGTGTTGCTGGTGTTGCGACGTAAAGTTTCTGGGCGAATTTGCCCCATCTGAAGCTGGCCTGAGTGGCGTGAGGGCCATCAGTGCGTGAGGGGTGTGAGGGCCACAAGGGCGGTGAGGCGCGTGAAGGCGGTGAGTGGCGTGAGGGCGGTGAGTGGCGTGAGGGCGGTGAGTGGCGTGAGGGCGGTGAGTGGCGTGAGGGCGGTGAGTGGCGTGAAGGCGGTGAGTGGCGTGAAGGCGGTGAGTGGCGTGAAGGCGGTGAGTGGCGTGAGGGCCGTGAGGGCGGTGAGGGCCGTGAGGGCGGTGAGTGGCGTGAGGGCCATGACTGAGTGAGGGGCGTGAGGGCGGTGAGTGCGTGAGGGCCGTGAGGTTCAGTGAGGGTGAGTGAAGGGCTGAAGGTGAGTGTGACTGTGAGGATGAGGGTGAGTGAGGGGCTGAAGGTGAGTGTAGCTGTGAGGGTGAGGGTGAGTGAGGGGCTTAGGTGAGTGTGGCTGTGAGGGTGAGGGTGAGTGAGGGCGACCTAAAAGGCCGACCTCTGGCGTTCAGACCCGCTGCTGCAGGGGGTATTTGTTAGTCCGTGTAGTTGCGGTCTTTTGCCAACACTTTCGAAGGAAGAAAGGATTACAAAAATGCCTGCGTTGCCTTTCTTTTTGCAGCCACTGCAAAAAATCAACTCCAAAAGTCAAAATAGACTATGCGGCACAATGTGACCTGCTCTCTAACTCTAACTTTGCGGCCTTCTCGTGGCATCACGCCGCGGTGATAAAGCAAAAGGCGGGGAGCGAGCGAAGAGGCGAAGAAAAAGCAAGCCACGGCACGAGTGGCCGGCAGAAAGAAGGCACACGTTCGTTGCGTCTGTTTATTTTGTCCCTCCTGCTCCTCCTCCTCTCCCCTCCCCCTCCCCACTGGCACTGCTGGCGGCATGCCGCCGAAAGAGAAAAAAAAAAAGCCAACACGTTGCGTGTTTGTGCTTTTTGTTTGAAGCAGTGGCGACAGTCGGTGACGCAATAACGCACGATAACGCAGCGGTGCGCGGACCTGCTGAGATGACGGTCCGCAGCCATGTGCGCAGGCAAAATTGCGTTGTCATCCCGCGGCATAGCCGAGTGGTGGGCGGTCAGTCGGAACGGTGGGTGGCAAAGCCACTGCCGCCAATTGTGGGGAGAACCCCGATTCTGGCTAGTTACATAATGCACCGAAACACCATAAAAAAAAAAATATTGCAATACTCGGCGAGAATGAGAGGCAAAAGAATTCTAGGTCAGCTGATAGTCAAAAGGACTTGTGCCTCGGTTTCCTTAGAAGTCTCTGAACACAGTCATGGACCAGACATACCTAGTGTCGCCAGTGTTCTTCTTGAAGGCAAATCCGAGAACGGCTATCTTTTTGCCTGCGACAGTGTTGAAGAGACGCTCGATGATGCGTTGAGCAAACCGGGTTCGCTGAAAGTCGTTCATCTCCACCACCTACCAAAGAAAACGACAAAGAAGAACCGCGCGCAAAATATTCAGTTCCCCCTCCTGAGTCTAGCATTCGCCGGATGTTCCATCGTGCTACACTCCCAGCTAGCGATGGCCTGCCGAGAAGTGATGAGCCAAATCAGATGAAATCAATCGGCTCAATCACTCAATAAGCTGAATTATAGTTAGCCTAATTTAATAACTTAATCCTGCCGGATTCATTTGATGCAATCTGAATGAAGCACCACCTCTGATGCAAACTCCACAACCCAATGAATAAGTCTAATTAATCAATTAATTGCAGATTAGAGTGCTTCTCTGGAAAAGAAAAGCACAGCTTCATTTTCTGAAAATTTCTGCCCATGTTTTGTTTACATGTAGCTTATAACCATAAAGGTTGTGCATGAGGTAAATGACGCCAAAATGAACAGAGCTAGCAGCCGAATGGCATGACATAGCTCGGCAGCCCATCTTCCTCCTCCCTTTTCCTGGCACCATTTTTTCTCACAAACACCAAGCCAACAAACAGGTAATGCTTTCAATGCTGCCTCTAACATTACACCATGCAAATGAGTCTGTAACTGAACGAGTGAATTGAGTCGGTCACCTGGTACCAGTAGTTGGCCACTTCCGGGAGCTTGAGGCACTCGCACAAGTAGACCAGGTTGAGCACGTCCTTCTGGAAGCAGCTTCCTCCAAAGCCTTCCAAGAAAAAGGAGCAGGGGAAAAAAAATAAGATGCTCCTAAAACAAGCTAATTACTGTTGGTGTTATTACTGTGAAACACAGGGCAGCAAAAACAAACTACCAAGAACACAAATATTGAAAACAAGTGCTCAACCATTTACTTTGCTTTCCTTTAAGTCACACTATTTTCTCCCATTTTTAAAGAAAGCCTCAAAGGCAGATGATCTTAACCCCATTAAATCCTACAGTTTAGCACAAGCCTTTTATTACCAGACTGTTCGAAGAATGGTTTCCAAACCTGTTGTGACTCCATTGCACTTACTTTGTGTGTCTCTTACAAAATACATGCAGTATTTTGGGAATTTTTTTTACAATTATTTTTGGGCAAAGTCTGGTCGATGTCCCGACAATGCTCGTGAAGGTGCCTACTCACCAATGCTGGCCTGCAAAAACTTGGGGCCTATCCTGCTGTCACTGCCGATGGCGTGTGCCACTTCCGACACGTCTGCACCGGTCAGCTCACAGATGGCAGACACGGCATTGATGCTAGAGATTCGTTGGGCTAGGAATGCATTGGCTGCCTGCAGGACGGAAGGATGGGCCAGTTAATGATGTGGCAAACAGCTTAGTCAATCAATCAATGAATCAATACTTTGAATTAACCGCCAGCATATTAATAGTTGGCGAGGCCTTTGACTAGCATGATGCAAGCAGTTGCGAAGGGCAAAGACACATGTACAAACATCTGCATCTGCTTTTGAGCTTTGATCACTGTCATTAAAATTAAAATAAAGGAAGAGTTTATAACAAGTACATTATAAAAACCAAACCACACATTTGCAAGTGCAAGCTGCAAGTGCAAAAGGTTGTCAGAATGTACCCACATCGAACAGAAATAAACTGTTTCAACTATGATTATATTAACTCCTGCCAAAACTTTCGCACTAGGCACCATTTTTTAGGCAGAACAAAACTAGACTATTTTCTTTTATTGACTTTGTCTATAACAATTATGGGGCATATATGCAACAAATTTCCTGTTACATCATGCCAACATCTCTCTTTGAATGATTCATTAAACAAAGCACAGCAGGTATGAAGGTTAAAGAATAGATGAGTTACTTTATTATAGTACATAGTATCTTGGAGCAGACATTTCAGACAGTTACTACAGATTGCTAATCCTAAATATAGTTGCAGGATTGTTGAAAAACCTCGAGACATTTGAGCGTCAGGTTACTTACGTATTTCGGATCAGCTAATTCAAATTAAGAAAAAAGACCAAAAAAAAAAAACTTTTCAGTATACCTCAAGTTTTATAAGCAAATTGGGAACAATACAAACATTTCTTTTCTGTAATCAAATGTACCACTGCACCTCATATACCGACACAAGAAAAAAACCAAAAGTAAAAAATTGTGAAAAATATATTTCTATCTTGACTTTGAAAGTGACCTTTTATCTGATCATCAGGGTACCAAGCATCAGAATTGAGTGCTAAGAGATATTACTCTGTCTTCCTCTCCGGTTGGTAGCTGACATATTATGAACAAGTCATTTTCAAGAAATCTATTTCAGTCCATGCCTAATACTGAATTAGACGCTGAAGATGGACAAAGTAAAAGTCCCGTTACAGTCGAGCCCGGTTATATCACACTCTGGTATCGAATTGTTTATATCAAACAGTCCACAAATACCCTTCAAAATCACATGTAACAGTAATACAGGAGCGTTGTCTTTCTGTTTCCAATTCCCATGGCGGGGACATTCGATATAGAGAACAAAGCCCTGCGGCCCTGCCCGTTGCTTTTCCCACGATCCCATTGCGCCCTTGGCGAGCATGTCCCTTGCGTTGCGTGGCTGGCAGACCACCAAGCCAGCATACACGCATACGCGGCAAAAAAGCAGTTGTGAAAAAGGAGAGACAATGGGCCGTAAAAAAAAAAAAAAAGTGGAGGATTAGCAAAACAAAGGGAAGGGCGTGCGGTGTAGGGAGAGCAGGGAGTGTTTGCTGTTGGAACGGTAGCCTGCGTCCCTTCCCCGAACATCGCTGTCGAGTGTGTCGACAACAACGGTTGTGCAATTGCGCTTTGAACGCTTTATCTTTGTTAACCTTTTCCTTTGCCAATATTGCTTTGCCCATTTTTTTTTTTTCTATCTCTTCTTGCTGCCTGAAGTTAGTGAGCTTTCTTTTTTTGTTGCCTGCTTAACCTTTTTCTATAGATCAAAAGATTTTTTATAGTCTCACTTTTCCTTTTTTTCTCATTTTTTAAAATTATTTTTGTGTTTCGTCGCTTCTGCTGTGTGAAGGTCTCGGCCAGGCGCGCATGTAAGCGTGGAGTTGTTTGCTGTCTCCGCCAACTACAACTGCGCTCTACTGTATTTAGCGGCTCTTGGATGCTCCATGGTACGCCCCTGTTTGTCGCGACCTTCCGTATTAGCAGAGATACCAGGAAATTTCAACTTGAGCTTAATTTAACATATTTTTGTATATGAAATCATTGATATATCAAACTTTTCTACGATCCCTTTTGAATGTGATATATCCGGGTTCGACCGTATATAATTAACTGGATTTAAAGCGATCCAATTGTGCTTTGTCAGTCCTCTTAGGGTTACAAGCTGAAGCACTTTAGTCTCGACGGAACAGCTACGCATACCCTAAAAGCACGGGCTGCCCGCCTCAGATTATGGGAGTTTTATAAGCCATCAAAATCCGGCCTTGATTTAATCTTTTGCAGAATTTCTCCAACTGGTCTAATAACGTTCAAAGCCAATTAACAAGGCCAGTACTACAGCCTTCTTACCTAGGAGATGTTGAGGGGAGAGAATGTGCAAGAGGAGAAAGATTTGCAAATGCAGAAGGGGCCAAGTGTAGGTCAGGTTTAAACGAGACCTCCGCAAAGCATCACAGAAGCAGACGTGCGCATGCATACATACCAGTTTAGAGAGTTCTGAGGACCAAGTGTTCATCGTGATGATCTTCTCGTCGGGGATCCAGTGCCTGTAGACGGAGCAGAGCTCTTCGATGGCTGCGAGGCCCTCCGGCGTCTGCTCTCCGCCGATCAGGATCCGATCGGGATGAAGCAGGTCCGCCACTGCCGATCCCTCGGCCAGAAACTCCGGGTTGGAGAGTACCTACGTAGTGAAAATTGTTCCCCTGAGCATCGTCGGAATGTCCCGTGTTAGCATCTCTCGGCTTGCGGCTCCATGTTGAGGAAAGTTTGCAAGATAAGAATGGAATTTTAGTCGTCAAACTGGAGTTTGAGGAAAGAGTAGCCCTTTTTAGTTTTATTGCCTAATTGGGGATTGTGCTTCTCTGCAACATGGTGCACTTCCGTTAAAGCAGAATGGTCACAAGTGAACATAATAAAAACTGAGAGTCTCAAAAACATGATGTCCTGTATGCATTTTAAGATTTTAGTTCTATAAAGCATAGGATGTTTTATTTTGAAACATAGGAGAGCATGTTGGTTTAACACTCGGAAAGGTCTAACTTTTTAAAAAAAGTATCACATTATGTACTGCATATGCAACTAGCATATCACACTTAAGGGGGGGACACTACCTGGGCATGTCTACTTCTGAACCGCTCATTCAATCAACGTGAAATTTGCAGATGGTGTTTGTAGCCATATAGAAGGAGGGCATGCAAAGTTTCAGCCCTGTGAACTAATTTTATGAGGTTCTATACCCCCCAAGCTTGCATGAAGTCTGCTCAATGAATTTTTTGTCGAGAAATGGTGTTGATCACTACATATTCTTCTAGTGGAATGCATACTGGAATACTTATTGGCGGTTACTATGAAAAGAAATTTCAGAAAATATGCATTTTCGAGGTAAAAAAAATTTATGAAATTCTTCTGTTTTTTACATTTGCCAAGTTTTGCAAATTACAATTTTTCATTATAAAGTAACATGAAAATGCAAAATCTAAGTTCATAGTAACCGGCTGATAAAATTTTTCGAGGTAAAAAAAAATTATGAAATTCTTTTTTTTTTTTTTTTACATTTGTCAAGTTTTGCAAATTACAATTTTTCATCATAAAGTAACATGAAAATGCAAAATCTAAGTTCATAGTAACCGATTGATAAAATTTTCCAAGGTAAAAAAAAAATTATGAAATTTTTTTTTTTTTTTTTACATTTGCAAAGTTTTGCAAATTACAATTTTTCATTATAAAGTGACACGAAAATGCAAAATCTAAGTTCATAGTAACCGGTTGATAAAATTTCGGCATATAATCCACAAATATTAAGTCTCTCGGTAGTTTTATACTGAAACAAGAGTTTTATTAAAGTGGGTTTTGCTCCCAAAAAGTGAAGCTGAGATAAATGCACTTGAAGCTTCAAGTTGACGTTTTAAAAATTTCTTTTTGCGTCTTAAATGTCAGAAATTCTTTCCAGCAGTGTAGGTGAATTCTTCCTCAAACTTCTTCCGATATAGGTACTGACATTGCTTTCTGCTATTTTCACCCGTAAATGACGAGTGTTACGTAGTGCAGCACACCTCACCAACATAAAAGAATAAATATTTTTGACATCGTTTGTCAGTGCACATGGACAAGACTTCGTGAGAGTGTTCCTTGTTATCCATACCATGCCAAAACTCTGCAGTTCTGAATATGCATGTTTTGGAAAAAAAAAAAAAAAGGTGCAATTTAAGGTAGTGTTTTCCTTAAAGAGAAAAATTTAAAGTTCATCTCACAGCCCCATCCAGCATATCCAGCCACTGTAAGGATAGATAAGCACCACATATGGGAGCCATATCTAGCCTCTGCTGTACTTCTGAAGGTGCCACCACAAAGGGTAGAGCCCCATATGAGCCCCACAGTGGCTAGATATAGTAGATGGATATACAGGTAATGTAAGGGTTCTATACGGCACTTTCAAGACGGTAGCGACAACTTTGGCTCACCTGGAACTTGACACCCTGCATGATGTTTGCCTTGAGAATACGGCTGATGCTCTCGGCGGCCTTCACGGGCACAGTACTCTTCTCGACGACAATTTTGGGACTCTGCGCTTTCTCCGCGATTGATCGTGCGGCCGATTCCACATACTGAAGGTCCGCTGCTCTTCCCTGCATGGTTCAAAAACACAAATTTCACTCATTTCAGGACTCTGGCAATGGCAATCTTGACTAAGCTGCAGTGACGATCTGTACTAAACTGAAAAGATTTGTGACTGTACATCAGTCGTCAGTCCTAATGTTAACAGACCCTCTCGTGAGCAAGTGCCATCTGGCGACTTGTCTGCGAATAACAAATGCAAACAAGTAGTACTGTTGTTTTGGCTCTGTCACTTCTCTTCCCCTGTATTCTGTTCTTTGCCTTCCTTACTTGCTTCAACCTTAGGCACTAGGTTTGAGCATGTGCTCAATTTTTGTTGTGAATGTTACCCAGGCAACCTGGTCCACACACCATGCTTCTTGGGCATCCATACAGGCACGCTGGTCCAATTCAGAAATCTCTTACAACCCGAAGTTTCTGCATGAATAGATTATGACGAGTATATTGACGTGCTCAGTGAAGAACATGAGAACAGGATAGACCTTTAGCAAAATATGCAGTGCCCTCCATTGATGCAAAAGAGTGTTCCGGGTAACGGCTGTATAGAACAGGCTATACCAGTGTTGCACAATACAGTCTAAGCTCATTATAACAGACCTTAATTTTGATCAAGATTTCGGTCTGTTGTAAAAGGAGTATGTTGTATGCAGATATGAAGTTGAGTCAGTGGTACATAGAGGAAAACCAACCAAACTTCATAAATCGGTATGTTATATCCAAATGTCTGTTGTAACCAGGTCTGTTGTAATGAGCTTAGACTGTAGATGCTGCGGGAGCAAGCAGCCGTGTGCAGGGTCTTCCCAGCATTTATTGCTTACCTCACACTCTGCCTTCTGGGATTTTTGCAAATGGTTCATTTGCCAACAGCTTACACTGTTGAATGTGCTTGTTGAATACCCCAACCCTAGTCCATGCCAAAAACGGGGCACCCACTAAACAGGAGAAAATGACGTCGGTGTGCATTTCATTGCAACGGTGACAGATGCATTTTGCATGTGTCACCGTTGGTACGATGCATCCGGATTGCCCAAGTTGAAGTGCCAAAGAAAGGTAAAGAGCTTGTCTACGTTTAGGCGATTATTTACAGTACAGCCCAACTCGTGATTCAAGGCAAAAGCATGACAAATTGCTCCTGGAGTTCCGCTGCAGAGATGTTTTTGAATACTCCCTTTTCCCTTGCCCTGTTCGTGAATCAATCTTTTTCATGTCAATCACTATGCTACTTGCATTTTTTCATGCCTGTATGTGTCTATTTGGTTCATGAGCCGAGTGCGCTAGCGCACACCAGTTCGGAGCACGTGGAGCGAAAGCTTGTGCTACAGTACCTAGGGATCCTGGGTTCGATCCCCACCCCTGCCCGTTTCGATCTGGATGAGCATCGTACCGGCATGCGGTCGTGTATCACTACTGCGTGGTGCATGTTAAAGACCCCAGGATAGCGGGTGTACCGCACTGGCTAAATCGCTTATGTACAGTGGGTGACAATGTCGCCATGCTCTGGCAGACTAACCTCCTGCTGTATAAACAACTACTGACTAATTTGACTTTTTCGATTTGTTCAAACGTTGGGAATAAGAGCAGTCAAAGGTAGCGGGCTTCGAGTAACCCTTGCAAAGCACGCAAGCTCGGCAACCGAGGCACTCACCTTTCCAAACCCGTAGTTCTTTGTGGGGGTGTTCACAGAGATGAAAATGAGGTCGGCTTCGTCAATGGCCTGCTCGATGTCGCATGAGAAAAACAGGTTTCGGCCTCTGCATTCCTTCACGATTTTGTCCAGGTTTGGCTGCGGGTCAACAGGCAGGACATAAAAGCTCACAAGCTGCTAAATTTCAACGATGACAAGATAACAAAAGGAGCTGTTGCTTTGCCGTACAACCACACCATGTTAACAGCATACTTGCAGTCTTCTTTCCAATTAGGAAGACTATGTCAGCCTAGGTGAAACTAGAACTATTGACGTACGTGACAGTTTTAACAGCAATAGTAGTATGTGTATGTTCCTCGTAAGTGCACGGTCTTGGGCTGCAGTCCTATGAGGCGACACAGTGGCATGCATTAGTGTAAGAACTACTGTGCGGCACACATTACATGCCCGGTTGGCAGTCATCTCTACGCTGATAAAATTGCCCTTCCACAGCAAAGACGTGAGATGCTATAGTATTTACATAAGGACCGACTTTTTAATCTGATCTCACAGCACGATGCTGTGAACCACAATTGTACATTAAATACAACCACAAAGATGTTTTTTTTAACACAAACGTTAAGATACCATGCCAGCCATCTGAGGTGACTTTTTATAAATTATTTGCTCGTTTCTAGACAAATACTTTGTCCAGAGCTGCCTAGTTACACATCATTAAAAAGTACAACTGCTGCTTGTTCTCTCCTTGCATTGCTTACTTAAGCATTTATCTTAACAGCATAGTGCCACTAATGAGCTTTCCGTTTAAGACGCAAAAGCAGTCGAGCGTGTCTAATAGGGGCAATACTCTTAAATACAACAAGAAAGGACTACTGGTTGTTCAGCCTGCACTCGGCCAAGGAATACTCCCAGCTCGGCTGAGTATCTCAGTCTCCCATTTCTTCATCCAGTTACCTCGTAGATTGGGAGCTTGTCCGAGTTCCACTGCTTGATTCGGTCGACGCTCTTGTCAGTGACAACCACCTTGATGCTTGGGCACTTGTAGGCAATGATGCTGCACGTGGGTCCCCCCACATAACCCGCACCAATGCAGCAAATGTTCTTCACCACCATTGCTAGAAGGGAAAGAAAAACACACCATTACAACAATGTCTAACAAAGAAAAACTTTGAGACTGTTGCTAATTCAAGGGAGAACTGCGGAGCAGTTTGTTTTAATGTGCTCCGACTTGAATGCAACTCGTCATTCTGTTCTGAGGCAGCATGCACCTTAATTTTAAACATACATGTAATCAGGTGGCATTTAAAAAAAAAATATTTGCCCGCACGAAAGAATTGGGCAGCATGTTGGGTAGCCAAAAAGTGGAGGAGAAAATATTTTAAAACATTTTTGGGGTAGCCGCCTCGGTGGCTCGGAGGAAAAGCACTGGCCTATGAATCCCCAGGTGGTGCTTTGGGCGAGACAGTCCCGTTTTCGAGGTTTATTTACTTCGTCCCATCATCCTGCCTAAGAAAAACCTCATGTCCCGTTTTCACAGGAACGTGCAGTTGCCAAATGGGTACTAAGCGAATGGAAGAAAACCAAATTAATGTTTATTCCTTAGAGACATAATTTTATAAAAATAAATGTTACCTCCCAAACAGTACGATTTTGAGCTCTTTCCTTATAAAATCCCTATCTGCCAATAAATCTGCCAGACTTTTCTTGTAGTATGTACTAGGTACTCATTTAGACATGTTAGTTTGGCCGCAATGAAATAGTGCCTAAATCCGGCGACGAAAGTCTGTCCGACTCCGGAACAATCTGCGTTTTTGTCGCTAAGATGATTAGTAGCACAATTTTTCTTTAGCCCCCTCGCCCACTCCCCCCTCCCCCCTTCCCTCCCCCAACCTTACACTCGAGTGTCCTGTTTTCTACCCCGAAAATTACGGTCACCCTACATGTAACCGAGATTTTGATTGAATGTCAAGGGATTCCCAGGGAGTCGAAAAGAATCCCTGTCCTCTGCTAGGGTGTTCCAGATGCCCTTTGTTGGTTTGGCACGTGAAACACCAAAATTTGACGACATTTCTGGGTATCATCTGTAGTGCAGATACAACTAACCCTATTCTACATAAAATCTACAAACTAATGGGCTCGAAAAACTCGTTCGTCTGTCAGGTCAATCAAAGATACCGTAAATTAAAGCTATAAAAAAAATTCTTTTCCAAGCTGCCAAGGAAAACTGTTGCTCTCATCAAAAAACAAGACAGGACTCATTAGAAGACAAGACAGTAGTCATCTGAAGACAATTCAAAACTCATAAGACAAATGAAAAGCCAAGACATGGCTTATGATAAAAAAATAAGAGAGATAAGACTCATTAAAAGACAAGGATATGAAAAAATATGACAAGACTCATAAAAGGGATAAGACTCGTTAATAAACAAGACAAAGCTTATGAAAAGACAAGACTCATAAGAGAGATAAGACTCGTCAAAAGACAAGGCAGGGCTCAAAAAGCCTTCTGTCTATTCCACACCAGAATAGCAGACACAGGGGGAGCTGCTTTGTAATACCTGCCATGCCAAACGGAAATTCAACGTGGCTTTTGACATGTACATGAAGTTGTTTTTCTGATGCCATCTGCTACAAGGTAGTTGTTGAGGTGGGACTGTGGGGCCAGACCACGTCCTATCACATAGCTACCTTCACAGAAGCCCCGACACCACCACGGATGTTACGCCAGTTGGGGACACAGTTCCTGCACACAAGGGGACAAGATATCGTACCACCTCTTGCCTTTTCATTTTTTAAATATTCACAGTAAGGACGCCGTCGAAGAAAAATATTGTTGTGACATGATGCAACACTAAAATTAAAAAGAGTGAAAGAACTCTACATGATTTACAGCGGCAAAAACATTCTTGTGCACCATGACTTGACGCACAAAACATGACACCAGAGCTGAAGCCTCATGTTTCACTTTTAAGCCATTTCAGCACAAGATGGCAACCATCCGAGACATTGAATTGAGGACTATACTGTGATGTTTCGTTAATATGGACACCTCCGTTCCCCCTACAAAATCGTCCTTAATGCGAGTTGTAAACAGACGCATGCATTTTCCTTGTCTGTCCCGAAAATGGCACCCATATAGCAGGGTATCCATATTAATGGGGTCCACATTCATGAGACATGATTGTACCTGAATTCTAGAAGCGCAGTACAGAATTATGTGGAAGACAGCCGGATCTAAAATATGTAGCAGGAGACTTACTGTTATTTTCTAAGGTTGTTCAACAATAGAAGTACTAGTACCACTGTCATAGTTGTGAGTCACTTGCTTAAGGACCTAACTTGTTACGGGTACTTGTTTGCTATTCTCCGGTCACATATTACCTGAAACCAGATGTCATTGAAACGGGTGTTAGCTGATGGTAACAGGGCCAAAAGGGCCCGGTACCATCAGGTTATTGTTACCAGCGCACGGCTACTGGCATTTCTCAGTGAACTCTTTCCCGACCGCACCCATAAGCCATCGATCACCGGTGATCTACGGCTTCCAGGTGCCAACAAGAAATTGAATTTAGTGGGGAGAATTATGTTCCACAATCTCGTGGATACCGAAGAACTCTAGTTTTAATTTTAACGTAGGTTTGAACTTTATCATGAGCTGGTGGGCTGTCAGAAGCAGTCCTGGAAACAATGGTTGCACTTGTTTAACATGGCAAACTGGTTGCATCAGTCTTTATAACAAAGAGGGCACTGTTTACATAATTCAAATGTATTGTGGCATATATTTTAGACCTCAAGAGCTCTGGGGACAATTTAAATGATGTTAGAGGCATCACTTAACAGATGTTTGTCGGTGAGCGTCACTATAATTTCCAATGCTCTCCTGAGCTGGCGTGCACGTTTCATGTTCCCAACATGGACAAAAATGCTAAATATCAGGGAACTGTAATCGAGGCTATGACAAAGCCAAGGTGGAACACAAAGAAAGCATTTTGCTGGGGATGTGAAGTGTACTATCTGTGTTTCACCAATATACCAATATATTGTAAGCATTCCTTCATTGAAAAGCACACTCCTAACTCTCTAACGAACCAAAAATAGACACCAGTTAGAGCACACTAACTTTCAGAAGTAATAGCCGTGGATGTGGGGGGCACATTTTCTGTATTCTGATTTTTTTTTTATTTGTAGTTTAATTTAATATAGCTGTAGAAGTTTTGGTGTTTATATGTTTTTCACACATAAATTGTACTTTCAAGAAATAAAGTTTTAAAATCTTTTTCCGCATTATAGCAAACTCTGTTTCTTTTGAAACAGAGTTTGCTAAAACTCAAAAAGAAAGTGTGGTCCTACATCATCTTCAAGAGTGTTGCAAAGCTGCGACTTTTTAGTAAGCCGCTCTCGACGGCACCATTAAAGGGGCCCTGCAAGGACTTTTTTAATGGTTTTTAGTTTGCACCGAACCTGAGCGCACTGAACGTAGTAACCTAATGAAACTTTTCTTTTCTTGAATTTCGCTTTAGCTTAAAAGTTATAGGCAAACTAAAATTACAAAAACAAGCAAAAAATAACCTCCTTCATGACGTCCTTGGTTGCTTGAGTGGCCGTGAACTAGAGTAGGGGTAGTGAGCTCAGCGGGCGGTCACGGCTGCCGCACTCCGTGTTAACGGCTCGGGAGGGCACCACTAAAGCATATTCTGGCTAGGCTGTATGAGGCAAGCAGCCAGGGCGGCTCACATTGCATTTGCTGCGCGATTAGAGGCTAATTTGGCTTGATACTTCATTGGCCACAAATGACAGCCAACACAGGGTAAAGATCAGTTTAGAACGGGAGCCATTTCGCGCTGCCATACCGCCAAAAGGCTAAACCGCAAGCCAAACCTGCTTGCCGAAGGCCTGGGAAACACTCGGAACTGGTCGGATCTTCTAGTCCATACAACCGCAGCGCCGCCGCATACATGCGGGACCTTTCTACGCTCGCCACTCGTTGGTGCCTAATGCCACCACACCTTTCTAGTATGCGCCGCCTTTTCCACCGCTTGGTGGCGGGTATGTCGACGGGCCATTTCTTGTTTCCATACTTTCTAAACTGCATTTGTTTCTTTTCTGATCTAAAATAGTGAACAAAAACTACTTCTATAAATAATTGAAACTGGTCGCACCACTTATATTTTGTTTTTCGACTAAAAAGAAGCTTTTAGCGGCGCTGACCAGTAGTAAGCCCACAACCAAATACGCCACATATTGCGCGCTTTCGGCACCGCGGGTCGCCCCTGTAGGTGGAGGAGGTTTCCGCCTTCTGGTTAGAATATGACGCACTGATATTTAGTTACTCTCTCCGTGCCCGCTGCCTTGTCTGAACCCCAAGAGATGTGGAAACTGCAAAAAAAGGTAGATGCTTAAATATGATTGCAGGGCCCCTTTAAGTGAAACTTTTCCCAGGTTTAGGTGCTAAACTGAAGGAGCCCTATCACAAACAATGAGATAAAAATCAGGTCACAAGGACATATGTGGCGGGAAACCCAATTTCATATATAGTGACGAGGAGATATGAAGCATTAGTGAAAAGGATGGCTCCATGTTTTTTCCACATTTTATAAGAGAACCCACAAAGGGACACTCAAAACACATTGAACAAAAAGTGTACCTGATTTGTTGTTTTTAACGGATGTCCACCACCACCCCAGAGCTCGACGTCCAAAAGACTGATATCTCAGAGTGCCCTAGTACAGCGATGCACTAAACACGCGTAAATAAAATAATGAAAAGCGAGCAGTAAAAATCCGCTGACGCACGAAAATAGCAGCTGGGAACTCGGCACAGCCCTCAGTGTGCACTGAGCTCTCTGCGATTGTCACCCAACATCTGTGTGGGCGGGTGCAGGCAGACCGGAGCAATGCAGCTCATACGTCGACAGTGAAATTGGAAATAAATGGGATACATCTACCTCCAACTTGCACGGCGGATGCACTTGTGTCAGCTGCCACAGAGTTTTAATAGAAAATAATATATTGTGAGGAAAATGGAATGACGCTAGGCCGTCAAGCGTGCAGCCGCGATTCCTCAACGAGAAAGAATGTCAAATAAAACTTAAAGAACCGCTACGAAAGCGTCTTCA